GGTATAGACTGGGAAAGGAGTTTAGCAGCAAAGGCACTCGGTATAGACTGGGAAAGGAGTTTAGCAGCAAAGGCACTTGGTATAGACTGGGAAAGGAGTTTAGCAGCAAAGGCACTTGAGAAACGATGACAGACATTGAAGAAAATAGCTCATGGCTAACAGTAAAGATATCTCTTAGTGAGGAAGAAGATTTTTAGGAAGTCAACAATGGTTAACAAGAAAAGTTAAGGAAAGCCTCAAATTGAAAGAAAAGAAATACAATGGGGCAAAGATTAGTGATAAGTCAGAGGATTGAAAACGTTTTATAAACCAGCAAAAGATCACATAAAATATAATAAAGAGGGACAAAATAAACTTTAAGGTAAATTTGCAAATAAAATCACGACAGGAGGCAAGAGCTCCTTTTAATATGTAAAAAGGAAGAGAGAAGCTAAAATGAATACGGACCCCTTGGAGAAGGAGACAAGAGAAATAGTAATGGGAAGGCAGGAAATAGCAAAGGAGTTAAAATAGTACTTTACATCAGTCTTCATTGTAGAAAACACCCACAGCATCCCAAATTTACTAAATATTCAAGGGGCAAAAAAAGTAGTGGAAATAAATACAATAACCGTGACTGGAGAAAAGGTATGAGGGAATCTAATGGGGCTAAAGACAGATAAATCCCCTGGACCAGATCAGGTGTATCCTCAGATATTAAAGGAAATAGCTACAGAGATAGTGGATGCACTTGTAGTAATCTCCCAGGAATCCTTAGATTCTGGAAAAGTCCTAGAGGATTGGAAAACTGCTGAAGTAACACCTTTATAGAAAAAGGGAAGGAGACAAAAAAAACAGGTGACTATAGGCCAGTCAGCTTAACATCTGTTGTTGTGAAAATGTTAGAGACTGTTATACAGGGTGTAACAGCAGAGCATTTAGAAATACTTAATATAATCAGATTGAGTCAGCACAGCTTCATGAAAGGGAAATCATTCCTGACAATCGTGCTGGAATTTTTTTAAGAAAGTAACAAACAGGATGCACAAAGGGGAAATATTGGATGTGATGTATTTGTGTTTTCAGAAGGTGTTTGTTAAGGTATCACACATTAGGCTGCTTAATAAGATAAGGGCTCAGCGTGTTGGTATGTTAGCATGAGTAGAGGACTGATTAGCTAATAGAAGACAGAGAATTGGGATAAGGTGGGCATTTTCAGAAAGGCAACATATAACTAGTGGTATGCCATAGGGATCTGTGCTGAGATCTCAATTATTTATGATACATATTAGTGATTTGGATGAGGCAAGTTAATGTGCTATAGCCAAGTTTGTGGATGACACAAAATAGGTGGTAAGACACTGGCAAAGAAGATATGAAGAAGGTTATAGATGGATTAAGTGAGTGGGCAAAAACTTGGCAGCTGGTATGTAATGTAGGAGAATGTGAGGTAATGCATTTTGGCAGGAAGACTAGAGGAGCTGAATATTATTTAAATGAAGAAAGACTGCAGAAAGCTTCAGAACAGAGGAATTTGGGACTCCTTGTCCATGAGTCTCAAAAAGTATCCAAGTTCAACAGGAATAGGGAAACCAAATGGAATATTAGCTAATATTTCAAAGGGAATGGAGTACAAAAGTAGGGAGATTTTGTTAAAACTGTACGAAGCACTAGTCAGACCACAGCTGGAATACTGTGAACAGTTATGGACCCCATGTCAAAGGAAAGATCTGCTAGCATTGGAGGCAGCCCAGAGAATGTTCACTAGGCTGATACTTGGTATGGAAGGACTGTGTTATGAAGAGAGGTTCAGTAGATTGGGCCAATACTCATTGGAATTTAGAAGAATGAGAGGCTACTTCATTGAAAGATGCAGCTTTCTTTGAGGACTTGACAGGGTAAATGTGGAAAAATTGTTTCCCCTTGTGAGAGAGTCTGGGACCAAGGGGTTTAACTTCACAAAAAGGGTTCACAAATTTAAGACCGAGATAAGGAGAAATTTCCTCTCGGGTTGGTGGGGGGGAGATGTGGTGAATCAGTGGAATTCTTTACCGTAAAGGGCTGTTGAAATTGTGTCATTAAGTTTATTCAACAGGAATAGACAGCTTTTTAATCAGGAAGGGAATCGGGGGCATGGGGAAAAAGGCAGGAAAGTGGAGTCCAGGACTATCAGATCAGCCATAATCTCAATGAATGGCGGAATAGACTTGATGAACTGAATGGCTAATCAATGCTTCTATGTCTCATGCTCTTAGGAATGAGTAGCATGAACCTTCTCTGAACTGCTTCTAAAGCAATTATATCTGTCAAATAATAAGACCAAAATTGTACCCAGCAATCCAGATGTGGACTGACCAAGACCTGTGTAGCTGCAGCAAAAACACCCACTTTTTATATTTCATTACACTGACAATAGATGGCAACATTTCATTTGCCTTCCTAATCTCTTGCTGGATCTCCATACTAATAGTCTGGGACTTTATTTCCTGGAGCGTGGGTAGTTGAGGGCGACCTTTATAGAGGTTTATAAAATCTGAGGGGAGTAGATAAGGTGAATAGCAAAGATCTTTTCCCTAGGGTGGGGAATTCAAAAATAGAGGGCTTAGGTTTAAGGTGACAGGGGAAAGATTTAAAAGGAACCTTTCGTACAGAAGGTGTTGCATATATGGAACAAGCTGCCAGAGGAAAGAGTAGATGTGGGTACAATTATAACATTTAAAAGACATTTGGACAGGTATGTGGATAGCAAAGGTTTAGAGGGATATGGGCCAAAGTTGGGCAAGTAGGACTAGTTTAGCTTGGGAAACTTGATTGCCATGGACTAGTTGGACCGAAGGGGCAGTTTCTATGCTGTGTGACTCTATCTTCCAATCTAGTGAGATCCTTCCAGAAATTAAAAATTTTGGAAAATTATAATTAATGCCTGTACTATCTCTGTAAATACTTATTTCCGGACCTTAGGATGAAGACCATCTGGTCTTGGGAGCTTGTCAGTCTTTAGGTCTACTCATTTTCCTTGTAGCTTTTCCCTGATGATGGTGATTATTTCAATTTCCTCCATCCCTGTCACTTTTTGATTTTCAAGTATCTTTAGGAAGTTTTCTAAGTCTTCTACAATGAAAAAAGACACAAAATTACCTGTTCAGCAGCTGCGGTATTTACAGTGTTCTGTTGGTAATTGCCAGTCTTTCTGTCTCTAGAAGATCAACACTAGCTACAATTAATCTTTTTCTATTTAAATTTTCTTAGAAACTCTCTATCTCATTTTACATTACTAGCTAGCTTTTCTTATATCATCTTCTCATTCTGTCTCCCTTTTTTGATTACTTATTCTTCCCTGGCTCTCCAGTTATGATCACCATCACTCAGAGGCTCCTTTACCATGATGTTATTAATTAATGTTGTCACATTGCTCATTGCCAGGTCTAGAATAACCTGCTGTCTGGTTGACTCTGGAATATGCTGCTCTAAACAATTGTTCCAAAGAAACTCTTATTACCTCAGTTTCCAAAAGATCTTGTCAATCTGAGTCAAGTCTACAACCTACGAAGTCACCCATGATTAATGTGTTATCTTTCTTATACTCCTGATTTGTCTCTTCCTGTATAATCCATCCTGCCATGTAACGACTGCTAGAGGGCCTATGAACAACTCCCGCAAGAGATCTCTTATGTCTTTCTTATGTCTTAATTTTACCAAACTGAATCCACAACTTGCTCTTCAAGCTCTGACTACAATATTAATGATATCCTTAATTAACAGAGCTACCATACCAATTTTTCCTATCTTCCTATCTTTGAACTATCAAATAGCTTTCAATATTCAGGTCCCAGTCTTGCTCACCCTGTGGTGTCGGACCAAAGAATGGAAGACAATTTTGAAATCTTCTTAGTGTTATGACACAGTATAGCAAGCCAAACCAAATCAGCCTGACTTTAACAGGATTTGCAGCACAACGATCTTAAAGCGTTCAGCAGTGCTCAAAATTGCTCAATTGTTCCTTACCAGACTGCAAATTTATAACTTTATGAGTTATAACTTAAACAAAAATGAACAATCTATTATTAAGACTGTAACTTTAGCAGAAAACGGATGAAGTACAAGGCAAACTAATTAATATCTGTGATCTAAACTCGATCCTCGTGAATATAAACCTGCACTAAAACGCCAACAGACAGACGCACTGTTAAGGATTAAATTTTTTAAAAATACAAGCATTTTAATTTGTCAGTTTGATAACCATTTCATTGATGAATACCAGGCCTTCGTGAAATCCTTTGATGATGGTTATATTACAGGCATTTGGTACTATACATCTTGCTTGAAATCTAAACATACTAGTCAATACAAACAGCTTAAGCAGACTGCTGGAGACTTTTATTTATTTCTTATAACTGGATTCTTTCTTCAGAACATTCAACAAGTTGATAACTGGAGAATAACTAGAGAAAGCAAAACCAAAAAAACCTGGCCATGTCCAGCAGCTTCCAAAGCAAAGACTCCCTTCTGCCCTGAACCCCGGAAGAGCCAGTTCATTCTTTGTTTTCTCTTTCTTTTCAAACATTCTCTGAAATGGGCTGGCCAGCACTAATCCTCCTTAGATTGATCAATTTATCATGCATTCAGCTGCCAGTCCTTGAGCCTAACAGCATCTTGGTGCCAAATTGGTGACAGTGTTCTTAGAGCAGTAATTAACACGCATTATCTTTTCAGGCCAGTTCCCAATAGCAAACATCAGTCTTTTGTTCTTTCAAAGCAAGCTACTATACAAAGTTCAATTCTCAACTTCAACTCTCGGTTCCAAACCAAAAATAAAACAAAGATAATGATGGTCTCAACATTAGTTTTGGTTTCTCAATTATATTTAATTTATTGTGATACATACAGTTTGGCACATCTGATTTTGTTGAAAGCAGTTTTAATTTCTTGTGTGATTACATGCCAATATAATTCTGCTAACTGATTTTATTTTTCAGCCTATCATTGATCTGAGGCTGGCTATTCTTACTTGGACCTTCTACAAACAATCTTTTCTGAAGCAGGTCCTGACAGAAGGTGCGAACAGGTTACAGACAGGGATCAAATGACTTTGCACATGTTTATCTGCCACGATGAAGCTTTGGATTTATTCTGTATATGTCTCTCTGTCTTTACATAATCTCTGATGGTGCAGAAATGTGTCTACGTGTCATAACGACAATATTTTCAGATATTGAGTAATGTTTTGTATCTGTCTTCACAGTAGAAATGATATGGAGGTGCCGGTATTGGACTGGCGTGGACTAGATCAGAAATCACACAACACCAGGTTATTGTCCAACAGGTTTATTTGAAAACACAAGCTTTCAGAGCCTCACTCTTTCTTCAGGTGTTAGTTAGAGAGGTAGTATCAGACGTAGAATTTATAAGTAAAAGATCAAAGGGTCACACCACCGATAAGGATATATTAAACAAACCTAAGATACTGTTAAATCTTTAATCAGTTCGAAGGTTTTAATTGATTAATATGTATTTGTAAATCCCTAAATTCCTTTCAAGTCACTGTCCGGAGAGAACTAAAGGTTTTACTGGTGTAAAGAAGAGGTGACATTTTAGGTCAGACAATGCATGTTAGGTGTGAGGCCTTGTTTAGCATCTGTTTGTGTTTTGGTTTGGAGTCAGACTGGTTTAATTTTTCAAGTATTAATGTATAAAACTCCACATTGACTGACTGTCTATAAATTGTGTGCTTTTTGAACAAAATAGAATGTACCTGCAAATGCACGTTCACCCCATAGATTTGTGTGTGTGTGTGTGAGGGAGAGTGTATCTGTGTGTGTGTGGGGGGGGGGGAGAGGGTGTGTGTGTTGGGCGGAGAGTGTATGTGTGTGTGGGGAGGCAAAGAGAAAGAGTGTGTATGTGTGTGCGTGGGAGAGACGTATGTGTGGCATTGTGTGGAAGCGTGTGTGTGTGTGTGGGAGAGAGAGAGTGTCTGTGTGTGTGTGTTGTGGAGAAAGAGGGTGTGCGCGTGTTGGAGAGAGAGGGGGAGTGTGCGCGTGTTGGAGAGAGAGGGGGAGTGCGCGCGTGTGTTGGAGAGAGAGAGTGTGCGCGTGTGTGGGGGAGAGAGAGAGTGTGCGTGTGTGTGTGGGGGAAAGAGAGTGCGCGCGTGTTGGAGAGAGAGAGAGTGCGAGTGTGTTGGAGAGAGAGAGTGTGCGTTTGTGTGGGGAGAGAGTGTGTGTGTGAGAGAGAGAGGGAGAGAGTGTGTGTGGGAGAGAGAGAGGACGTAGGTGACAACTATGAGGTTATTCACTTTGGAAGCAAAAACAAGAAGGCAGATACCTGAATGGCTGTAAATTGGGAGAGGGGAGTGTGCAGTGGGACCTGAGTGTCCTTGTGCACCAGTTACTGAAGGTAAGCATGCAGGTGCAGCAGGTGCTAAAGAAGGCAAATGGTATGTTGGCCTTCATTGCGAGAGGTTTTGAGTACAGAAGCAGGGCTGTGTTGTTGCAGTTACACAGGGCCTTGGTGAGACCACAGCTGAAATAATGTGTGCAGTTTTGGTCTCCTTTTCTGAGGAAGGACGCTCTTGCTCTCGAGGGAGTGCAGTGAAGGTTTATCAGGCTGATTCTGGGGATGGCGGGTCTGACGTATGAGGAGAGATTGACCAGGTTGGGATTGTTTTCACTGGAGTTCAGATGAATGAGGGGGGATCTCATAGACGCTTACAAAATTCTAACAGGACTGGACAGGGTAGATGCAGGAGGATATTCCCGATGGTGGGTGTGTCCAGAACCAGGGGTCACAGTATGAGGATTCGGGGTAGACCATTTAGGACGGAGATGAGGAGACGTTTCTTCACCCAAAGAGTGATGAGCCTGTGGAATTCATTTCCACAGGAAGTAATTGATGCCAAAATATTGAATTTATTCAAGAGGCGACTAGATATAGCACTTGGGGCGAATGGGATCAAAGGTTACGGGGAGAAAGCAGGATTAGGCTATTGAGTTGGATGATCAGCCAGGATCATGAAGAATGGCAGAGCAGGCTCAAAGGGCCAAATGGCCGTCTCCTGCTCCCATATTCTATGTATCTATGTCTGATTAGCACATTTGGGGACAGCACAAAAATTGGGGGAATCTACAGATCGTAAGGAAGGTTGTCAGAGGATACAGGAGGAAGATAGATAGGTTTGAGACTTGGACAGACAAAATGGAATTTTGTCCAGACAAATGCAAGGTGATGTATTTTGGAAGGTTTAATACAGGAGGGAAGTATAAAGCAAATGACAAACCCTTAACATACAGAGGGATCACAGAGGAGGAGTGCTGAACGTCTTAAAACGCATAGAGGTGAATAAATCCCCAGGATCTGATCAGGTGTATCCTAGAACTCTGTGGGAAGTGAGGGAAGAGATTGTATGGCCACTTGCTGAGATATTTGTATCATTGATAGCCACTGGTGAGGTGCCAGAAGACTGGAGGTTGGCTAACGAGATGCCACTATTTAAGAAAGGTGGTAAGGAAAAGCCACAGAATATAGACTGGTGAGCCTGACAGTTGGTGGTGGGCAAGTTGTTGGAGGGAATCCTGAAGGACAGGATTTACATGTATTTGGAAAGGCAAGGACTGATTAGCGATAGTTAACATGGCTTTGCGCATGGGAAATCATGTCTCACTAACTTGACTGAGTTTTTTGAAGAACTAACGAAGAGGATTGATGAGGACAGAGCGGTGGAGGTGATCTATATGGACTTCAGTAAGGCATTCGACAAGGTTCAACAAGGGATATGGGCCAAATGCTGGCAAATGGGACTAGATTTATATAGGATATTTGGTTAGCATGGACGAATTGGACTGAAGGGTCTGTTTCCATGCTGTACCTCTCTAGAGGTCCACAGTTCCCTGAAAATGACAGCGCAAGTGGATAAGGTGGTGAAGAAGGCATATAGCATGCCTGCCTTCATCCGTCGGGGCACACAGTATAAAATTTGGCAAGTCATGTTGCAGCTGTTTAGAACTTTAGTTAGGCCGCATTTGGAATATTGCATACAGTTCTGGTCGTCACACTATCAGAAGGATATGGCGGCTTTGGAGAGGGTACACAAAAGGTTAACCAGGATGTTGTTTGGCCTGGAGTGTATTAGCTGTGAGGAGAAATTGGACAAACTCAATTTGTTCTCACATGAACGTCAGAGCCTAAGGGATGACCTGATAGAAGTTTACAGAATTGAGAGGCGTGGATAGAATGGGTAGGCAGAGTCTTTTCACTGGGTGGAAACGTCAGTTATCCAGGGTAAATGGAGGAATGTTTAAAGGAGACATGAGAGGCAACTCTTTTATACAGAGGGTTGTAAGTGCCTGGAAGGCACTGACAGAGGAGGTGGTGGAGGCAGATACAATAGTAGCATTTAGCAGGCATCTTGACAGATACATAAATAGGCAGGGAATAAAGGGATACGGACCATATAGTGACAAAAGCTTTTTAGTTTAGAAAAGCATCATGTGTTGGCACAGACTTTGTGGGCCAAAGGACCTGTTTTGTGCTGTTCTTTGTACCACATTTTGTGTATTTACAGTCGTACGTTATAGTTTTGTCTTTGCATTTCTCATTGTGCTTCTTAGCCTGCTCCTATCTGTGTTTTTTTTATTAATTCGTTCATAGGATGAGGGTGTCACTGGCTAAGCCAGCATTTATTGCCCATCCCTAATTGCCCAGAGGGCAGTTAAGAGTCAAACACATTGCTGTGGGTCTGGCCAGATCAGAAAAGGATGGCAGTTACCCTCCCTAAAGGACATTAGTGAACCAGATGGTTTTTTCCAACAATTGACAGTGGATTCTTGGTCATCATTAGACTGTTAATTTCAGTTTTATTTTAATTGAATTCAAACTGCACCAACTGCTGTGGCGGGATTTGAACTTGAGTCCCCAGAACACTACATGGGTCTCGGAATTAATAGTCCAGCAATAATGCCAGTGGGTCATTGCCTCCCCCCGGTAAGGTACAACTTCCTTCCTTATTCCAGCCCAAAATACACTTCTAGAACCTTATTTGTCTTTTCTACTTCTATAAGCCAGTACTGGTTCCAATATCCCAATAGTCTACCATGCTTCAAGCAAGCACCATTCCTGCCTAACGTAAAAACAGAAAGTGCTGGAATATTCTACAGTTCTTGCACTATCTCTGGAAAGAGAAGCAGAGTTAATATTTTGTATTGAAAAACTGTTCTCCAAAGGAGAGTACTTGGACTTGAAACATTAACTGTTTCTCTCCTTGTGAATGTAATAAGACCATAACAAGTAGGAACAAGAGTAGGTTGTTTGGTTCCTTAACCCCGCTGCACTCCTCACATCCACTTCCCTGTCCTTTCCCCATAGCCGTTGATGCCCCAAATAATCAAGAATCTGTCTCGGCCTTAAATTGACATAAAGACCCCCACAGCTCTCTGTGGCAACGAGTTCCAAAGACACTCAACCCTCTGTAGCCAGACCTGCTGATTTTCATCACCACTTACTGTTTTTATTTTAGACTTCTAACATCTGCAATGCTTTACTTTTATTTGATTGTTCCTCCCCATCTTCCTATTTCTACTTTGGCTGTGTGTAGCAGTGGGACCACTCGTGAGGTCCTGCTTTTCAACTTCCTCCCAGCTCCTGAAAGTCTGACCTTATGACCTCAATATGTATGTACAAACATGGAGCTGACGTTGTTAATTTGGCCCCTCAAGCCTTCTCACAAAATCTGACTATAACCTCAAATCTACAGTTCTGCCTTCCTTTCATAACCTCGCTTGCCAAGAATCTGTCTACCCCTGCCTTAACAATATTCAAGGACTCTGTTCACACCACTTTTCAAGAAGAGTGTTCCACAACTCTCAACCCCCATAGGAAAGCAATTCTCTTATCTCCGTTGATTTTTAAACAGTGACCCGTCATTCTAGATGCTTCCAGAAAAGGAAAAGTCCTCTCCACATCTACCCTGAAAACTCCAGACATCTACCTGGACTCTGGAGGAGCCAAGATCCCTCTGGACCTTATATTTTTCATTAAAAATAAGTGGACGTCATTTCCCTACCCCAGCACCCGTCCCTGGAACACCTGGACAACAAGAACACTTACAACAGACTCCTGCTCATTGACTACAGCTCTGCCTTCAACACCATTATCCCCTCCAGACTGATCTCAAAACTCCAAGACCTAGGTCTCGGTCTACCTTCTGCAACTGAATCCTCAGCTTCCTGACCCATAGACCGCAATCAGTGAAGATGGACAACTGCACCTTCTCCACGATAACCCTCAACACTAGAGCCCCCCAAGGATGCATTCTCAGCCCCCTACTGTACACCCTGTACATCCATAGCTGTGTTGCTAAATTCCAAACGAACGCCATCTACAAATTTGCTGACAACGCCACCATAGTAGTACCGATATCAAACAACAATGAGTCAGATTACAATAAGGAGATAAAGGGCTTGGTGACATGGTGCAACGATAACAACCTCTCTCAACGTCAACAAATCTAAAAAACTGATCATCAACTTCAGGAGAAAGCACTAGGCAAATTACTTCCTTCAAAGAGACAACACACACATTGGGCTGCTTGGCTTCTTTCCGTGCTGTAGACATTCTTTGAATCTAAAAGACATGCGATGCCCTGAGGCTCCCGTGTAGTGCAACAATTGCAATAAACAGGTCTCTGAAACCAATCCATGATGTAAAAGAAAACCCTCTGTTTCCAATGAATACACTATTTAAAGTATTAATTTTAACACATATTTTTCAACCTGTTAGGTGTGGTTACATCTCACTGGGGTCATCCACTGGAAATCAAGCTCTGCTTTTCGTGGAATCATCACAAGAGTTAAAAATTTTAAATAAGTGTGCAAAAATTCTCCAATCTCCTTGTCTTTCTGTTTGTATTCCAGGTGAACGATATGTCATGACCTTTCTAAATGTGTTAAATTTTGGAGATCAAGGTATGTGCATTATTTTCTTGATATGGTCTGTCTAGTTGAATGTAAAGCGCTTTATTACAAAGGTGTACAGTAGTGTTATTAACGTTGCTTCTCTATTATACTGAGCGAATGTGTAACAAGTGTTCAGTGAGCGCAGTCTGGTGCTGCTCGTGAACAAGACACCTTGGCTCACTGGCAGCATTGACAGGTTTTGAGACCAAGATGGTAGAAATTAAACACTTAATTTCAGACAACAGTTGAGTATTGTGTAGAAGGAGAGTGCACCCCACGGTTCTGTGCACAATTAACAGTCATTAAATCAGACTCTGGGTTAGATGGGAAATGTGGGTTTCTCTTTCCTGGAGGTCAAGTGCTGAACAATCCTGAACGGATTAGTGAGTGGATATTAGGAAACACAGAGAGGGGAAAGATTTAAAAGGGACCTTGGGGCAACTTCTTCAACAAGAGGGTGAGGCGTGTATGGAATCAGCTGCCACAGGAAGTGGTGGAGGCTGGTAAATTATAACATTTAAAAGGCATCTGGATGGTATATGAATAGGAAGGGTTTAGAGGGATAACAGTGTAGAGCTGGATGAACACAGCAGGCCAAGCAGCATCATAGGAGCAGGAAGGCTGACGTTTTGGGCCCAGATCCTTCTTCAGAAATGGGCTTGGAGATGCCGGCGCATTGCTGCGAGCGTGTGTTTCAGGAGTCGCAGGGAGAAACGCTTCTGAAGGATCTCAATGCTCTGAATATGGACATTGTCACGGTTGGGGCCAAATTGGGAAGGCCTGACTGTGGACTGTAGTCCATTGGGGATGATCTGGTTCCGTAGGCAGGTACTAAGAAAGGTGATGTAGCTGTAGTACCTGGTTTGCTTCAGGACGTGGTTGAGCAGTTTCAAGGCCGAAGAGATTACGAGAGAGTTGCAGTGGGAGAGAGATCCCCTGAGGTTTGTCCGGAGGGAGGAGGGTAACTTCTTCAGGGTAGGCATCCTTAGAAGAGGCTTCGCAGTGGGGTTAAAATTGTATCAGAGATAGTAGGAACTGCAGATGCTGGAAAATCTGAGATAACAAGGTGTAGAGCTGGATGAACACAGCAGGCCAAGCAGCATCATAGGAGCAGGAAGGCTGACGTTTCGGGCCTAGACCCTTCTTCAGAAATGGGGGAGGGGAAGGGGGTTCTGAAATAAATAGGGAGAGAGGGGGAGGCAGATAGAAGATGGATAGAGGAGAAGATAGGTGGAGAGGAGACTACGAGAGAGTTGCAGTGGGAGAGAGATCCCCTGAGGTTTGTCCGGAGGGAGGAGGGTAACTTCTTCAGGGTAGGATCCTTTGAAGAGGCTATATGGGCCAAATGCTGGCAAATGGGACTAGATTATTTAGGATATCTGGGCGGTATGGACAAGTTGGACTGAAGCATCTGTTTCCGTGCTATGCATACTCTGTGACTCTACAAGTCTCACTTGTTGAGACTAAAAGGGAGTCTGGTTGTTGCTGTGATTTTCCTGACTGTTCATGGATAGAACATGGACCGATCTGTTGCTGATTGCGTACAGCTGAAATGGTTAATTGTTTTCATGAAGCAGTGTGAATGGGAAGGGAGAAACATCACAGAATCTGTAATGTTAAATTCATAAGACAATGTCCATCTACCCCTTAGTTCATGATGTTTAAAGTTTTTGAGAAGATTTGTAGCTCAGGTTGTGGATGAAGTTGTAGACATGCTCGCTGAGCTGGTGTGTTTGATTGCAGACATTTTGTCACCCTGTTAGGTAACATTGTCAGTGCTCCTCTGGTGAAGCGTTAGTGTTCTGTCCGGCTTGTTATTTATGTGCCTCAGTTTGCTGGGGTGGTTGGCATCACTTCCAGTTCTGTTTTTTAGTGGTTTATATTATCGGGTCCAGTTCAATGTGTTTGTTTATGGAGTTCTGGTTGGAATGCCAGGCCTCCAGGAATTCCTTGGTGTCTCTGTTTGGCTTATACTATTATGGATGTGTTGTCCAAGTCAAATTTGTGTCCTTCTTTGTCCAATTGTATTGAGACCAGTGAGAATTGGTCGTGTCTCTTGGTGTCACCTATCTCACTGACTCTTTCCAGAGCTGAGTCCAACTTTGAGGGGACTGCTGACTGCACAAGTGTTTGCAATTTGCTGGCATAGTTACTTATATGTGGTTTTTGATGCAGGTGTGTATGATATTGTCAATAATCTGGGATCGCTGGTGGCCAGATTCCTCTTCCTTCCCATTGAGGAAAGCTTCTATGTTTTCTTTGTCAAAGTACTTGAACGAGGAAAGGACATTGGACACCAGAAACAGGTAATGCTTTGCTGCAGCAAACCGCCAGACTGTCAGGTGCTGTGGTACCTCTGGATCCAGCTACTATACTGATAGGAACAATTGAATTGCATGATTCTTCAATAGAGAGGATGTTTGTGCCAGTGTCTAAGGAGAGGAGAAAGAGGCAGTAACGATATTAGATACATAGGTAAAAAGAAATATTTAAAAGATTCACAGTAGTCAATGTAAAAAAGGCACCTGACCTGGATGGCAATGAATTTTGAAATTTATTGAAATGGTGGAAACATTGGAGGCTATGGTGAAAATCTTCCAATTTTCCTTGGATTTGAGTAGTGCCAGAGAATAATAAATGTTACATTCATGCTTAAAAAAGAGGAGGATAAAAAAAAACCAGTTAGTCAGCCTAACACCGATGGTGGGAAACCTTTAGAGATATTAATCCAGGACAAAATAGATTGACATTTGGAAAAGTATGTGTGAATAAACGGAAAATCAATATGCGTTGATTAAAGACTGTGTTTTGTAGAAATGCCATCTGTAGGTAACACAGATACAGAAACTTGACCTGGCAGTGCTATGCCACTGCCAAGTTACAGGTACAACTGACTGGAAGGATAGTCTATTTAACAAGCCTTCCAGTGTTCACCGAAGTGGTAGTTGCTGAGTGCCAAACTGGATAAAGTCCTCAATGCAATCAGCACTAACTCCCCAACAGCCTACTCCAAGTACAATAGAGCTTGCAGCCACTGTACCCCCCATCATAAGAAGCTGCCCAGCTGAACACTTGACTCTGCTTTGTGACCTTTGCTCTAGTTCCCAGTCTTTGACTTCACATCCAGACTTTATCCTCGCTGCTCGAACTTTGGCCTCAGCCAGGCCACCTGCACGTGCTCAACCAGTGAGACGTTGTGCAGCAAACGTAGATTCATTCTGGCTTGGTACGTCAATCCCCAATAACTGATATCACCATAATAATATAGTATAAAACAATCACCATGCCCATTTGTCTACACATAAGCAACCATTTGGGCAGCTATCTTTACATTCATCACTCCGTTAATTAAAAGCAGATAGTGTTTGATTAACTTAGAACAAAGAAGAACAAAGAAAATTACAGTACAGGAACAGGCCCTTCGGCCCTCCAAGCCTGCACTGACATGCTGCCTGTCGCAACTAAAACCCCCTACCCTTCCGGGGACCGTATCCCTCTATTCCCATCCTGTTCATGTATTTGTGAAGACGCCCTTTAAAAGTCACTATTGTATCTGCTTCCAGTACCTCCCCGGCAGCGGATTCCAGGCACCCACCACTCTCTGTGTAAAAAAAACTTGCCTCGTACATCACCTTTAACCCTTGTCCCTCGAACCTTAAACCCATGGCCCCTGGTAACTGACTCTTCGACCCTGGGAAAAAGCTTCTGACTATCCAGTCTGTCCATGCCCTTCATAATCTTGTAGACCTCTATCAGGTCACCCCTCAACCTCCGTCATTCCAGTGAGAACAACCCATGTTTCTCCAATCTCTCCTCATAGCTAATGCCCTCCATACCAGGCAACATCCTGGTAAATCTTTTCTGTACTCTCTCCAAACCCACCACATCCTTCTGGTAGTGTGGCGACCAGAATTGAACACAACATTCCAAATGCGGCCTAACCAAGGTTCAATAAAGCTGCAACATTATCTGCCAATTTTTAAACTCGGTGCCTCGGCCGATGAAGGCGAGCATGCCATATGCCTTGTTTGACTACCTTCTCCACCTGCGTTGCCACTTTCAGTGACCTGTGTACCTGTACACCCAGATCCCTCTGGCTATCAATACTCTTAAGTGTTCTGTCATTTACTGTATATTTTCCATCTGGATTAGACCTTCTGAAATGCATTACCTCACATTTTTCCAGATTAACATCTCACTGCCCAAGTCACCAACTGATCCATATCCAGCTGTATCCTTTGACAGTCCTCATCGCTATCCGCAATTCCACCAACCTTTGTGTCATGAGCAAACTTGCTAATCAGACCAGTTACATTTTCCTCCACATTATTTATATATACTACAAACAGCAAAGGTCCCAACACTGATCCCTGAGGAACGCCACTAGTCACAGCCCTCCGTTCAGAAACGCACCCTTCCACTGCTACCCTCTGTCTTCTATGACTGAGCCAGTGTTTTATCCATCTTGCAAGCTCACTCTGACCCCGTGCGACTTTACCTTCTGTATCAGCCTGCCGTGAGGGACCTTGTCAAAGGCCTTACTGAAGTCTATACAGACAACATCCACTGCCCTACCCTCATTGATCATCTTCGTCACTTGCTCAAAAAACTCAACCAAGTTAGTGAGACACAACCTCCCCTTCACAAAACCATGTGGCCTGTTGCTAATAAGCCCACTGATTTCCAGGTGGGAGTAAATCCTGTCTCGAAGAATCCTCTCCAATAATTTCCCTACCACTGACGTACGGCTCACCGGCCTGTAATTAGCTGGATTATCCCTACCACCCTTCTTAAGCAAAGGAACAACATTGACTATTCTCCAATCCTCTGGGACTTCCCCTGTAGCCAGTGAGGATACAAAGATTTCTCTCAAGGCCCCATTAATTTCCTCCCTTGTCTCTCTCAGTATTCTGGGGTATATCCCATCAGTCCCTGGGGACTTGTCTAATGTTTTTCAAGACCCCCAATACCTCCTCCCTTTTGATCTCAACATGACCTAAACTATGTACACACTCTTCCCCAGACTCATTACCCCCCAAGTCATTCTCTATGGTGAATACTGACGCAAAGTACTCATTTAATACCTCACCCATTTCCTCTGGGTCCACATATAAATTCCCTTCCCTGTCCTTGAGTAGGCCAACCCTCTGCCTGGCTACCCTCTTGCTCTTTATATATGCACAAAAAGCCTTGGGATTTTCGTTAATCCTGTTGGCCAATGACTTTTCACGACCCCTTTTAGCCCTCCGGACTCACTGCTTACGTACGTTTCTTTCGACTTTCCTTGTATTCCACCCTTGTTTCGTGTGTTCCCAGCCTCCAATCCTTGATAAATGCTTCCTTTTTCTTTTTGCTTAGGCTCACAATATCTCTCATTATCCAAGGTTCCCTAAACTTGCCATACTTATCCTTCATCCTTACTTCCCAGCAACTTACACTTGAAAACCTCCCACTTACCATATGTTGATTTGCCCTCAAACATCTGCCTCCAGTCTATATTCTTCAGTTCCTGCCTAGTATTGTTGTAATTAGCTTTCCTCCAATTTAGCACCTTCACCTGACAACTTGATTGCGTTCTTTCATAGAATGAGAGATTGATACTGCTTATATGGACTTCCAAGAGACATTTGGCAAAATATCATGGAACGGATTTGTTAATAATTGAACCCTGTGGAGCAGTGTCAAGGAGCTTGGGGTGAGAGTGAGAATGAAACAATGAGGTAGAGAATCAGCCTCGATCATGTTGAATTTACAGACTGCGGGAAATTATGTAGAGGAGTTTCCCAGCGATCGGTATTTGGGGCTTTGCATTTTTATATACATTAATAACTTAGATTTGAGTATATGGAGAATAATTTTGAAATTTGAATACATAAACTGGAAGCTGTAGTAAACAGTGAAGGATGTGATAACAACTAATATTTTGGGTCCGGTGACCCTTGCTTAGAACTGATGGTAGCTAGGAAAATGTTGGTTATATGCAGAAGATAGGGTTGGGGGCGTGGGTAAGGAGTAAACTATAGGTGGGGATAGCGCCCAAAGAGAGAGAAGAGCAGTTGGTAGACAAAGGAAATGATAATGATCTGGCTGGGAGGGTGAATAGCTATCAATGGGGACTATTAGTGACTAACAATGGGTTGTGTGTAATGGCAGGCTATGTGATAACAAGGCCTGGTGTGTGGGGTAGGGGGCTAGGACATGGGAGAGTTTAGGCCCTAAAATTATTGAACTCGATATTAAGACCTGAAGGCTGCAGGGTCCCCAAGCAGAAAATGGGATGTTATTCTTCCAGCTTCCATTGAGTTTCGCTGGAATTCTGCAGCAAGTCTGAGACAGAGATGTTGGCCAAGAAACAGGGTGGTGTGTTAATGTGGCAGGCAACTGGAAGCTCAGGGTCTTTTCAGCGAGCAGAATGTAAATGTTCTGTGATACCGTCACCCAGTCTACTCTTCATTTCCCTAATGTAGAGGAGACCACATTGTGAGCAGCGAATGCAGTAGACTAGATTCTGGGAAGTGCAGGTGAAGTGTTGCTTCACCTGGAAGGTATGTTTGGGCCCTTGGATACTGTGGAAGGAGGAGGTAAATGGGCAGGTGCAACATCTTTGCCAGTTGCAGGGGAACGTGCTGTGGAACTATGGGGTGGGGGGTGACCCTTCTTCTGAAGAAGGGTCCCGACCCAAAATGTCAACTTTCCTGCTCCTCTGATGCTGCCTGGCCTGCTTCCTCCAGCTCCACGCTGTGTTATCTCTGACTCCAGCATCGGCAGTTCTTATTATCTCCAAGGGTAGGGCTTATACAATTAAAGGTAGGGCCTTGGGTAGTATTGTAGAACAGGGAGACCTGGGAGTGCAGATACATAATTCTTCAAAGTTTGCATCACATATAGACAGGGTGGTTAAAAAGGTATGGAAGGTTTGAGCTATAAGGAAAGGCTGGAAAGGCTATGACTTCTTTCACTGGAGCATAGTTGAGAGGTTAAAATTGCTTCAGAGATAGTAGGAACTGCAGATGCTGGAGAATCTGAGATAACACGATGTAGAGCTGGATGAACACAGCAG